GAGCAGAACGACAACTGGGCAAGGTCATAGGTCATTTGTTCAGAGGGATCAGGCAGGGCCTCACAGAATAGGTGCCATCTATGCTGGGCTTAGAAGAGGAATATGACCCTAGGAAAAGCTTTAATCCCCACTGTGCAAACAGATTTCACTGCCCCTTTCAGGCCTGCTTTCAACAGCTACTCTTCCAAGTTCTTGGCACCTACTCAAAGCCTTTTGTCTTTCTGCTATGCCCTGACCCAGGACGACAGTGGCATCAAGCTGTCTGATGAAGACCTCCGGGCCGAAGTGGACACATTCATGTTCGAAGGTCATGACACCACCACCAGTGGTATCTCCTGGTTTCTCTACTGCATGGCCTCTCAACCAGAGCACCAGCAGCGTTGCAGGGAGGAGGTTCGTGAGATCCTAGGGGACCAGGACGCCTTCCAGTGGTGAGTGAGGCTGAGGGGGAGTCTGGTGTGCGCAGCCCATTGCCATCCTGGAACTAAGGTGAGGGTGGCTGTGGTTGTCCCGCTCCCTCTAGTAATTCAGCATTCTTGGCTGGAGGTGGGGCTGAGTGTTGATATATCCTTACTCCACTCCCTGTAAATAGAGCCTTTTCAGGGTCACCTACAGAAAATTATCAACAAGAGGCTGAGTTTTCTGTTTGCTGGCAGGGATGATCTGGGCAAGATGACCTACCTGACTATGTGCATCAAGGAGAGCTTCCGCCTCTACCCACCTGTGCCTCAGGTGTACCGCCAGCTCAGCAAGCCTGTCGACTTTGTGGATGGCCGCTCTCTTCCAGCAGGTGGGAGAGAGTGGGCTGAAGAGGGTAGAATCAGGGTCCCCTGGATGCTCCTTTGACACCTCCTGTGATGTTCACCAAAACTTTTTACCAAGGGAGATGAGCTTAGGCTTTGTTTTCAGAAGCCCTGGGTTCAGATCCTGCCTCCACAATATATAAGTTAATTACTCTGCCTCAAAATCTCCATTTCTTCTTCTACAGAACAGATGTGAGAAGAGTATCTCCCTTTCAAAGTTTTAATTAAAGAGACACAGGTCAGCAAGGGTATGCATAGCACTGTGCATATTCAGGTTGTGCCCTGGATAACTTCAGAACATAATTCATATAACTTGAAGTTAATGCGGAGCCATGCACATCATGTAAACCTTTATGTGATGTCTTCATAAATTGTATTTAGAACTGTGCCTGATATATAGTAAACATTTGGTGAAACTGTAGCAACTACTATTGATAGCATAATGTTAAGAATAATAACTCCTTGGCAGTTAGTTAATTGACAGTAGAAAGGTTATAATAGCTCCAGCCTGTCCTACTTTATGGTGTGTGTGTGTGTGGGTTCATCCCTCCTTTCCTCTTCTTCTTTTATCCCATAAATGTCTGTATTGGGTGTCAATCTCAGTTCTGAGGCTACAGGAACTGAACAAGATGATTTATCAAAATACTTTGAGGAGTTGAGTGAGGTCGAGAGCTCAATGTCACTGGCAATGGTTAAATGGGGGCTAGGGAGGCAGTAGAGCATTCAGGTCGTGCGAGGAGGTGGGTCTATCTGCTCTAAGGCCACCTGGTCACCAAGCCTCTTTTCTGTCTACAGGAAGCCTGGTGTCTCTGCACATCTATGCCCTCCATAGGAACAGTGCAGTGTGGCCTGACCCTGAGGTACCTGATTTCTGGGCCAAGATCAGACATGGGGATGAGAGGGCCAGGGGGACTAGCACATTCCAGGACCTGGTGGGTATTTAGGCAAAATCTGTCTTCTTAGGTCTTTGATCCCCTGCGTTTTTCTCCCGAGAATACATCTGGACGCCATCCCTTTGCCTTTATGCCCTTCTCTGCTGGGCCCAGGTAGGGAAAGGCCCCAAATTCCCAGGTCCTCAGGATTGAGGAGGAAGGTGGGGGGAGATATCAAGAAGGAGGTCTTCTGTGATGTTGGGTTTGTGGTTATCCTAAATGCCTGGAAAACTTCAGATACATAGTTCTTGCTATTATATTCCTGTCCCTGGGAAGTGAGTGGATGGCAGTCATCCAGGAGAGACCCCAAACCACAATCCCCATCAGGCAGCTATTCAGCCGAGGCCTTCACTATGTTCCCAAGATCTCTTAAATGCAGGTCAATCAATCTACCAGCCAGTTATACATGCAAAATGGTTACTGAGTTTGGGTAGCCACTAAGAGCATTGAATTTCATCTCCTGGACACCTCACAGCCCAGTGCCTCTCTGTACTACTCGCTGCAGGAATTGCATCGGGCAGCAGTTTGCCATGAATGAGATAAAGGTGGTCACGGCCCTCTGTTTGCTCCGCTTTGAGTTCTCCCTCGACCCCTCGCAGCTGCCCATCAAGATGCCCCAGCTGGTTCTGCGCTCCAAGAATGGAATCCACCTGTACCTGAAGCCAGTGGACCCTGGGTCTGGAAAGTAGCTCTGCAGAGATCAAGGACCTAACCAGCCCAGGCTCTCCTTTCCCACTGGGCGTCACTGTCCAGATGAATGTGGAGTAGTCGTGGCTCCCTGTCTTCAGGAGGCTTATTGTTTGGAAGAGGAATAGGCACTGGCATAGACAACTTCCTGGAGGACAGTGCCACTGAAACACTAATGTCTATAAAATATACTTGTTACACTTACGTTCAAGGTTGCATTCACTCACTCAGTCAGTGAGATGAGCACTTACTCATCTCAAGAAACTTCATTTACCTTCTATAGTCCGTAACCTTTCTGAAATGTAGAGGAATGCAGATTCCATCCTTAGTGACAAAGTGAACACCATAGAAGCTTTGCCGAGGGATTCGTGGTTATGATCAGGTAGTGTGTAATTTGTGGGACAGCTCAAGGGATTGCCTTTCTTGAAGAGGTTTCCCTCCCCGCTGGCATAATATAACTGAAATAAGGAAAAACAAGGTAAATTGGAACTGTAAAAAAAAAAATAATAATTCTAAAGCAAAGTCAAAGAATATGGAGGATTTTTTTTTTCCCGTTGTCTCTTCCTCCCTCCTTGGATGTGTCTGTGTGTCATCCCTGCATTCTCAGCATTAGGGCCTCAGTCACATGCTGCCCTGGGAATTCATAGTTAGACCAGGGAAGGTAGCACATTGGCATTAGAGGGGAACTTCCTGGGAGAAAGAAATCCCCCTCCTTGAATTAGGTGTTGAGTCATGGGCGAAGTGTGAAGGTGCCAAGAACTTTTGGAGAAACCTCATGGGTGGGGTCCCATAGCGACTTAGTGGTCTTTCACTGGCGGCCCCTGAAGCAGCTGCATGATGGCTGTGGGCACATACACTTCCAGGGTTCAAAGCATAAAGCCACTAGGAGGCTCCAGTCCAGGAATTGGAGAGCTAGAGCAAGAGGACTTGAGACTGGAGCTGGGAGGCAGTAGAGAGGAATTCTAGCCTTGGAACCTGGTAATGTTTCTATGGATCCCTGAGGTGTGCCATCTGGAAAGAAATCCTTTACTTGGAAGGTCACAGCCCTGGTCGACCTGACATAGGCCATCTGCTGAAGATCCAAACCTCCTTGCCCAAATGTGTATGATGCAGAGTTCCCATCCAGGGTGTGCCTCTTGGCTGTCTGTTCTGTGCCCCATGCTACCAACACCACCCTGTGTTCCAGCATCTCACTAGACTGCTCTCTGTACAAGTGAAGATGAAATTTCAGTGATCGCCACTTCGTGCCCTGTGGTGGTCCAGCCATCACAACAGTAACATGCCTGAGTCGGGGAGTGAAGATTGAGAAAGGAAAGAACACTCAAGTCTGAGTGGAGACCAACAGAAGTCTGATTTATTTCACAGAAACAGGTCCTTTTATAGGTTCACATCATCAGGAAGCTTTTAAGGGCACACAACAACAGAAAACACCAAGCAATCATTTTTATCTTTATGCAAAGACTGGATTTCCTGACTTTTACAGATAACATCAGATCTTCGGCTAACGAGTTCCTGTTATTGCAGGGTCAAAGAACAAAACAAGCTTAACAAACAGTGTCCTTGAAAAGTAACAAATGTTGCATAGATTGTGTTGATGCCTTAATTGTACAGGAAGAAGTTATTTTCCAAATGTCAAACTCCAGTGGTCCATGACTGGGCCCCCACAGTGCCCCCGAGTGGGAGCTGAGCCTCCAGTTATGATCACCTTGTACACTAGGTGGGAGCCAAGTCTTGAGGTCATAACCACCTGGAGCCCTAAGGTGGCACCTGAGCATAACTCTATTGATTTCCTAAATCTCTTTGGACCTTCGGCACCCAGACAGTCACCAAGTGTAGGCAGGGTTGATGCTGTCCTAATGGGAATAGGTTATGATCCCATTTCAGTACTAAGGGAAGGAGCCTGTGAAGAGGAGGCCTCTGGTTTCTTTAAACCAAGAATCCACAGTTAATACTGACAGACTTTTGGGGGGGGGTGTTGGTGGGAAATAGACACAAGCGCTCTGGTGCTAGAGAGGAGAGAGGCTTTCTGGAGGAGGAAGGATGGAGGCTGTGCCTGGTAGGCACCATGGATGAGTTCTCCTAAAACTTTCTAGATCTTCAAACACACCCTGCTGCCTCCTGTGACCCTGGGAATGTGTGTGAGTAGAGTGTGGAGTGTGCAGTGAATGTGCATACAGGAGAGGCTTACATATCTCTTTTTGTGTGTATTTGGGGGATGTGTATATAAATGGGACTCAACCTTGGTCTTGCTCATTGCTTGGAGGCAGCAAGGTCACTTCTCAGTCACACTTTTACACCCTGTGGAATCCTGTAGTTATAGCACACGGTCATGGCTGGCTGCCAGGGAATGCCTGACGAACTATTGGGAAATGCTCAATCACCTGATGAGCATACAGCAGAGATGAAAGAATAACATACAAAGGATCAAGAATAAGAATAAATGCTAATTTATTATTTGTGATGCTGGGATCTTTACTTAGCTCTTCCTTGCTAAGACCACAAACGCTGGTTGTCAGTATTTGTGATTATACAACATAGCAAGGGACATAGAGGCAGATGTAAGGAATATAGGGACTTAAAGCACAAATGAGCCAGGCTGTAAAAGGGAGGAATGATTGGATTTTCACAAAGGACGGGTCACAGTTGACAAGGCACCTGTGTTATCTTACAGGTCATAGCTAACAAGCCACTTGTATTATCTTTTACTAACATTTGATCTGAGAAAATAACTGCACAGTCAGAATTCCTCAGCATAGTATTTTCTTGCCATTAAAAACATCGTAGTATAGTCGATCGTTGCAATTTCAATTGTGACCATTGGCATAGTGAATTTTGTCTCTATACGCCGTCAAAGGCTCCTTTGGGACACAGCCTAGAGCGCTCTTCTGTGCCATGGCCCCTCGCAAGAGGAAGCTCAAGGCTGAGGTCTCAGAGGTCGGCCCCACCGGGAAGTGGGAGGAGTTGCCTGATGGCGTGGCAGGCTGGGAGGAGGCTCAAGTGGTCATGGAGCCCTGCACCAGCTGATGCCTGCACGTGATCCAGGCCACCGCACTTAGCCAGGCGCTGTGCAAGGTGGCACCGCAGCTGGCGGTGGTGCTGAACTTGTGGCCATGGAGAGGCAGCCTGAAGGTGTCACTTTGGCTCTGGCACCTGGACAGCAGCAGGTCCCAACTATAAACTGGAATTAAGAAGGAGCCACGGCACAAATTTAAGTTCCTTGAGCCACAGGCCTTGGTACAGGAGCTGACGAAGCATCTTTCCTGAGGTTCAGGCAGGAGACTCATGCTGAGCGCTTCTCTCTCTGGTGCTTTTGGAGAGTCTGTGACAAGACAGGGCCAAACTTGGGACATGGCCCAGAAACCAACGTTGCTGTCACTCCACACCCAAATGTTCACACAAGGCAGCTCCCCACAGGGATGGGAGGAAAAAAGGCTCATTCAGAAAGTCACACATGAATTTTGGAATGACTCATAATTTTAATGAACAGCCAAATTATAAGCCAACTCAATAACAATTTAAAGCCTTCTTAGTGCAGTTTCAAGCTGGCCTCCTGTAGCTGGACACCCAGAATTCTGAGCTTTTATTGTCCTGTGCTCTCTGAGCATGGCCAGCATCACCTCTGTCACCATCTGATGCAGGGGACCCTCCTGGGAATCTTGTTTGTACATTCCCAGCTAACTCTGTTACCCTACTTTCCCTTCTCCCTTGGTCAAGAGTCCAGCCTGCCCTCTCCTGTCTCTTTGCAGAGCAAGACCAAAGGAGCCCAGTGACTTAGGAGGCCAGGAGAGTGGGACAGAGATCTTGACTGCAGGTTCCAACTTGGGTAGAAGATATAGACCATCACAAACTGAGGGCATCAGAGGACTCTGGGAAGTTCTGTCTATTGCATCCAAGGCCCTGGCCTCAGAACTGTTTGAGGCAAGAGGGAAATCTATGCTCAGGACCAGCAAAGATTCAGGGTCTGGTTTAATGAAGGCTAACAGAAGCAAGACAACTCTTGTGGGGATACATAAATGGATGGGAGCAGGGATCAGGACTCAACTCAGAAATACCTGCATCCTGGCACTCACCAAGTATGGGAAGGGTTGGTGTTGCCTCTCCTCCTTCGGGGTGGCCAACCAGGGAGACTGCCATGGGGCTGTCCTGTGGGGCAGGAGCTGCTTGGGTTCTGACATCCTCTCCCAAGGGCCTGGGCCCCTCCCAGCCCTTACAGACAGCTGTCCACTCCCCAAGCCTCCTGAGGAGTTTCTAGATCCTATATGTGAGGGAGGCTGACAGATGACTCGGTGACACGGCTAGGCTGGGCTCTCTTCTCACATCTCATCTGAGTGAAGGACAAGGTCCTGGGACCCCCATGCTAGATCAGACCTGAAGTTTTCCCACTCAGCTCAAGATGGGATCTAGCTGGAACCTCTTCTGAAAAATCGAGTACAAAAAATATTAGTCCTTGACTATACTGGAGGCTTTGTCTCTTGTCTTGACAGATGTAAGCTTCTCTGTCTGAGGTCCCAGAGAAAAGCCCTCTGTCTAAACTCAGCTACTGCAGCCTCAGCAGCTGAGCTACTGTGGGGCATGATGAGGCCACCCAAAGATGGTGGGCTGCATCAGGCCCGGCAGAAATACTGGTACCACAGGCCACTTGTCGTCTCCTCCTTCCTCAGAAGGCACTTGTCTCCTCTCCCTCTGTCTCTTTTTCCCTGTTATATCCTTCAAAGGAAACAAGACATTCCATGTGGCATTAAGAACTTTATTTCAGGAACGAGGGAGATGGAAAGGCTTGAGTGAGAGACACACAGGTAGACAGAGACCATGCAGGAGAGAAATCAGATGATAGTTGGGGAGGGACAATGCCAGGCTGAATAATGTCTTCCAAGGATGTCCCAGGCCTCAACTTTGAAGCCCATGAATATGTTATCTCATATGTCAAAGGAACTCTAAAGGTTGACAGGTTGAGTAAAAGATTTTGAGATGGGTAAATTATCCTTTAAAGAAAGAAGAAGTGACAGGTTCAAGGAATGCAAAGAATTCATCTCTAGAGTGGAAAGGCAAGCAGAAAGGTTCTCTCCTGGACCCTGCAGAAGAGGTCGGCCACATCAACAACTGGATCTTCTCCCAGTGATACCCATTTCAGACTCTGAGCTCCAGAACTATAAGAGAATAGCTTTCTGTTACTTAAAACCATAAAGGTTGTGGTAGTTGATTATAGAAGCAGTAGGAAGCTCATATAGAAAAAAAAA